GATTTGAAATTTAAGAAGAACCACCTAAGCTTTAGATGTTCTAAATCTTTGGAGGTATGTCTCACCTCAGTGTTTCTGCTAAGCAACATACCTAGCACAGAGTAGGCATTCCATGAATATTTGCTTAATGAAAAATAATATATGATATAGTTTGACATCTATGTAGCAGAAATGAAATATAGCCCAAGTTGACAAGGAGGAAGGAAAGTTTGTGATACCTTCTAAGTTTTCAAAGCTATTTAAAAATTCTCTAGAAGCCTAAAACATTTAGTAACATTGGTTAGAGCTGATTTCTGGCCTTTTTGTAGATATAGCACTCTATTTGATAACACTTATATCTCCCTTTGCAAGTTAATTCAGAAAAGCATTTATTACTTTATGCCCAGCACATTAGATGTAAAAGATGCAGAAGCAAAATACATAATCTTTGCCTCTAAGGAAACAGAGATCTTTGAATGAGTACAATTTAGTAGAACAAATAACTATGGTAGAAGTAAGCAAAAAGGGGCTAGGGTTAAACAGGTGAAATGCTACCTGAGTTATAGCTTTATTTCCACATAAGCATGTATGCTTTTGTGCGTGTGTGTGTATCTCTCTGTCTCACTCTTCATGGAATCGAAATTGAAATTTATCGAACAAGTTTCCTAAACCTTTTTGAACTACCCTGAGATAACAAAACCAGATCTGAACTCTTTGGTGTGAAGTTCATTTTCCCTTCAGACTTTTTCCTCAGGCATTGATTAGATCAGCCGAAACTTTGAATGAAAAGGTCTGAGGAAATTGATACCTTTACTAAACAAAAATGAAGTCTTTCACAGTTTGCACAGAATAGTAAAAGAACAATATAGTGGTAGAATCTGTAATGAATAAGTAAAGGTTATATAAAGAGACCCTAAAGAATTTCCTGAGTTCTTTCATCTGTTTTAGTGTTCTCTCATTTTGATTTCCATTATCACAACAAGCATGCTTACTTTCCCTTCCTCCTGCCTTTGCCCATAGGAATTTTTTTCTTCTCAACCTTTGCAGACAATATGATTTCAGAGTAGAGAATATTGATGCCCTAAATATAGCAAAAGTAAGATCATGAAGCAAGTAAATGAGTTGTATAAACTGTGTTTGTATAATGTTTAAAGAGCAGTTATATTTAATTCTTCCAGCATCCTGAGAGACAGGAGAATTAATCCCATTTGACAAATGAGGACACTAAAATCGAAGTTTTAATTACTTACGGAAAGTCACACAGCAGAATAACCAACACTGAAATAGTGTCTATGTGAACCTTTGTTAAGTAAGACTTCTTAAGTGATAGCAGTCATTCAACTAGTACTATTGAGATGCAAACTAATGGACTATAATAAGTAGCATAAAAATAAAACTACTCATAAACAGTCAACTGATTTATTATATAGGTAACACTGAAGTACAGTGGGGAAAATGTGGTCTTTTTAATAAGTTATACTGGATCAGTTGTATGGTGGCATGGGAAAAAAGGGATTGAATCATTACCTTGTATCATATACAAAAAAATTAATTTGAGATGCATAAAGACCTAAGTATAAAAGGTAAAATAATAAAGCTTTTAGAAGAAAAGAGAAGATTATCTTCATGACTTAAACAAGTCAAACATTTCTTAAATAGGCAGCGATTTCTAAAACAGGACAAAATAAAAATCAAACCATAAAGGAAAAATCAACAAATTGGTCTTCATTAAAATGAGTTCATTAAGAGAAGAAAGTAAAAAGGCAGGCCTCCAAATGGGAGTAGATATTTGCAAGATACACATTCAATAAAGGAATCTATCCAGAATATATTAAAAAGTCCTGTGTGTCCCTACAAATAGTTAACCCAGTAGAACAATAGGCAAAAGACTTGAACAGGCATTTTATAAAAGAGCTATCCAAGTGACCAAAAGACATAAGAACAGGTGGTATTCAACTTTATTAGTCATCAGGAAATGCATAATAAAACCGTGAGAACACTGCACTCCCATGAAAATGACTAAAATTAAAAAGCTGGCAACACTAAGTGTGGACACAGCTTTAGAGCAACTGGTGGGAATGTAAATGGTTATAAACACTTTGAAACACTATTTGACAGTACATCTAAAGGTTGACGTATATTCTCTATGATGCAGCATATCAAATGATGTGTAGAAAAAAGGTATATTCACAGCAGCACTATTCAGTATAGCAGAAAACTGGAAACAATCCAAGTGTCCATCCAGAGGATGGATAAGAAAATCAATATATTCACTTATTCAGCAGTGCTTTCTTAACTTAACTGTGGTGAAGGACCAGATTTTTTTCTCTACCTGTCAGAATGAAACTCTTGTAAATACAATATTACACACAGTATCAAACTGTTGGGAAAGTTTCTAAATGTTCACACACACCTTCTGTAATCGGCATTGCAGATGAGAAGCAAACAGTGTGGACGACAGTGGCCCGCAAACTGCGTTTCAAATAGCACTGCTTTCAAACAATGAAAATGAACAGACTGCAGCTGCACACAACAACATGGATGGATCTCACGACCAGACACAAAAGGGTCTTTAGTTTATGACTCCATTATTCAAGTAAAGTTCAGTGACAACAAAAATCACTAACCTGTGATGGTAGACATTAGGGTTACCCTTGGAGAAGCAGGAGATTGTCACTTGAAGGGGCCATGAGTGGAATTCTGGGGTTCTTACTCTTGACATTGCATCGTTTTCATGCTGGTTATATGGATGTGCTCACTGTGTGAAAATGTATCTAGTTGTACACTTAAGATTTGGGCACTTTTTTGTTTTATGTTATTTTTACCATTTACATTAAAAATTATTGAACACCTATTAAACACATGTCCTCTAAACTTGTGATGGTAACAGATGAGTGGAGAAAACAATGTGTATGTGAGTATATAAGCAAATGTGAAGTTACAAATTATTATTTAGTGAGAGAAACCATAGCAGTGTACCATGTAGAGAATAATGAAGGAAGGACTACTTAGAGACGGTAGTCAAAGAAGGGCTTCTATGAGAAGATACTTTGGCTGAGACCTGGAGGATGAAAAGGAAATCAGCGATGCCAAGAGTAGAGACAAACAAAAATAAGTAGCGGTTTTGATAGCGAGGTAAAGAGAATTAATGGATGTACAATAGAGGAAGGCATTGCAGACATAAGGTACAACTTAGGAATTGGTCTTATGAAAATTGAGACAGGAGGAAATGGGATGGGAAGAAGTAGGATTTTGATTAACAGTTGGAAATAATGGAAAGACCAGGATGAACAGTTTTGCAAGAGGCTTGTTAACACCAGCGTGAGATGAGAATAATTGTCTCACCAGCATGTGATGATATAATTGTGAATAAGGAAAATCTAGTTTAGAAGGAAGTGCATTCCCAGTTAATTTTCAAAACTAAGGAAAATATTAAATGAGTTAAATAATGGATGAGTTCATTTGTGTTTCAATATGTTTCATGTAATTTGAGGTAAGTAAAAGTATGTTTACATATTAGAGAATTTTGATTCAGGCATTGGGAAGTGAACAGCAAATGAGACAGCATTCATTCCAACCCTGTCAGTCTGACTGGCATTCCACTGGCCCCTCCCCACCTCCCCAACACAGTGATTTCCTTATGGCTTATTTCAGCTCCATCCCTCTTACCTTTTGTTCCCTTCCTCCCTTGTTCTCTCCCCTCACCATCAAATGTTTCATTGAAAATACTAACCACTTTCATGTGTATAACCTTCTTTAATCCTTTCGTAACCCTAGCAATCTCATGTTTGTGAAGACGCATGTAGGGGAAACTGGTCAGAGAAGCTGTATGACTTGTCTGAGGTCACAACCTAAATTTCTGACTCCAAGTGTAGTGCTTTTTCCATTATGTCAGGATTTCGTTTCTTCCAAATATACAGAAGATGGTATGTTTAAATTATTGTCATCCATGTTACGAGTAATGAAAGTAGATCCTATTGTTTTTTAGAATTTGTAAGAGACCCCTTCTTCCTAGAATGGCTGAGTTATATGTATGGATATAGGTTACATATGTATAATATGTCAATACATTTTACTTCACATACAAAGGAAATAAGTCAAATAAAAGTTTAAAAAACTTTAATAGCTTTTGAAGTATTGTAGCTTTCATGAAGTATAGCACGTCCAGGATGTCTATCATAATTATCATTAATTTCATGTCTTCTTAATTACTAAAAATCTGGAAGAAGTGAAATATGACCTTGATGCAGATCATTAAAATTAGGCCCAGGTTCTCACTGAAAATGAGGAGGTAAACTAAGGGATTATGCACTTGTTTCCTTATTATCTTCCTTAGCTTATTTTCTACTATTCCCTCTGACTCTTTATGTGTTTTTAGTACCACTACCAATAAGTAAACAATTGGAAAAAACAGGAGATTAAGTTCATATCATTTGATTTTTATCACTTGCTGATATCTCTGGGGCAACTAAGAGATTAAGAAGACGCATTAAAATGAAGGTGATAGATTGTGGATTTTAACCAGTTGCTTTTGGAAGTTGCTAGATGGGACATTTTTATTAAAGATGTAAAATCCGCTCTTTAAATGTGTAGTAGTATTACATCTGTTTGAACTTTCAGAACAATTAGTGAACTCAAATAGTATACTAGCAAAAAAAAAATCTAGACTTTCTGGAAATGGGAAAGATCCTTAGTTGAATTGAATCTTAAGGTAAAACAAAGTGGGTAATGCAGGGGTACTGATCATGTCTCTCTTTGCCTGACAGGCTGTAAGAGAGTGGCTAGATCACAAATTCGTGGTTTCAGCCATTTCTGGAAGTGTTTATAGCTGTTTATATGAGACTGTAACTATTCATTAGGGAATTCTTCCTAGAATATCCTGACTTCTACCACGCCTAAGAATAACCGTTTTGGGGAGCAGATGGGCCATAAGATGATTCCTGGGGTTGTAGCAACGCACCAGACTCCCTCACTAAGGCATTCAATCCCTAATTTTCCTTCCTCTTTTTTCTTTGCTGTAGAGTGATTCTCATCAGTTCCGTGTCATGGCAGCTGTCCTTCGCCATTGTTTACTAATCGTAGGTCCAACTGAAGACAAAACAGAAGAGCTGCACAGGTAGGTAACCTCCGTACTGATATCTCAATGAAGGACGTCACCAGTTCTTGTTTTTAAGCATCTAATTTTAGTTCTTATAAGCACAAGGAAGTGAGAATACTGAAATAAATCAGGTAACTAGTAAGTCAGAAATCATTACCATGCCCTGATGAGAAATTTTCGTTCAGTCCCCTTTGACTTTGTTGTAGTGAACCCCAACAAGAGAAGAGAGATTTGGCATTTATTGCCTTCAACAATAAAACCTAGAACAACAATAATAGCACACAATTACTGAGTACTGTGTGTGACATCATGCCAAGTGCTTGATAAAGATTAACTCCTTTTAATCATCACACCAGCCTTATGAGGTAGTTTCCCTTTCAGTAGATAATTAAACAGGCATAGAAAGCTCAGGTAATTTCTCTGAGATCACACAGCCCTAATGAGTGAGAGCTTGGATTTGAACCCTGCTTTTAATTACTACACTTAAACTAACACTCTCGCTAATTTCAGTGTAAGAGCATTTACCGAAAAGGATATCTTAAGCAATATGTTTTAACTAAATTGTAAGAAGTTACAAGAACTGGGTCACAGTTTCAAGTTTAATATATAAAAAAAGAGTTCAAGTTTTGTAACTTGCCTGTTAGAACTATTAAAGGACTGCTGTTAAAATGTATCATTCTCTAGGAACAAATGAATAAGTTTAATGCATTTTCTAGTTCTTTTACTTTCTATTCTCTTTGACTTTAGCATAAAACTGTTCATGGTGCTTCATTCTGTAAGAATACAAATGGCATTTTAAACAATTCAGATTCAAATTTGCAAACAAATAACTTTGGCATTAAATCTGTTTTACAAATAAATTTAAAATTGAGTTCTCGTAATAGTAGAAATTACCTTTTGAGCATTTACAATAGTCTGACTTCCAAAATATGGCTTAAATAAAACTATATACAACCAGTACAAAATGAAACATACCTGATTATCTTTATGTACTCTGTCTTGCAAGTCTTCAAAAGTTTGTTTTCTTCCCAATTAAAAAATGTAATTTTTTTCCCTGCCGCTACAAATCAAAAGTTCCTTAATTTTCTTGAGATTGTGCCTTTAAAAAATAAAAAGATTTTATTAGGCATTTGACTCATTGTAATTTTTTTTCATAATCAAGAGACACTAGCAGTCTAGGTACTAAAGCTAAAAGAAAACTAATTTAAAAGCTCAGAAGTAAATTGATTTTTTAAATCAGATATCACAAGTTAAATAGCATTCATACAATAATGTGAGGAGAAAATGTTTTGACAGGAATTGTTACACTAGTCACAAAAACACTGACCCACTATTTGTCAAAAGAGAGCAAAACTGTATAGATGTTTGAAAAATCAGATTTTTTTAAAGTAGTCAGATTTCCTTATTTTCCATTCTGATATTTGCTTTAAATACTTGTTTTTCTTAAATTTTAAAGATATTTTTCTTTAAATTTGCTTTTATTTAAAAGTTGCTTTAATAAAATAACTATTAGTTACAGTGTAAGTAAGAAGGAATATCCCTAGAGACACAGACAGAATTTATGAGTATTTCTTCAAGGCTTTCCTGGGAGACAGGTTGCTGCTGACTTCACAGTTTATCTGGCCAAGGCCCTGCATGTCCCTTTAATCAGAATTTAAGTGATTAGTATCATTTGAGCAGAAATGGCTCTAGGCCAATCCATTTAAATATCGGAAAAACTACACCAACCTCAAAGGGCTATTTTAGGAATCTTGCTGGAATTGTAACATCTACTAAATTCTGCTTGTTTGTAATGATCCTGAAACCAGTTTCTGTGTGTTTAAGGCACAAATTAAAAGAAAAAAAAGGAATGTTTCAAACTAAAAACTCATACCATTTTTTAAAGTTTGTTTTTTGCACATTTGATTTGTTTTAAGGGAAAATGTAATGAAATAGGTAAACCAGGATAGTATAGTTTATGCATGATGGAGTATCATCTAACTCAGAGAGTTGTAATAATGATTAAGTGAGAAATCAATAAAGCACTCCAGCCACAGCATTCGGTAAGCTCTCAGTATATCCACAATACTCTTGCCACTGCTGCTTCTATTATTATAATAAGCATATTGACTTTTAGATACAGTATTTAGTTCCCAGTCTTTTTAAAAGGTGCTTCTTGGTTTTGGTATGTTGTTTAGGAACTTATTTCTGTGTATATCCTGTGATCCTGTAGAGAAATCTGATTTCTGTTCATTTAAGTTTTTCTAAAGCCAGAAGTCTAGTAAAGTGATATAAGAGGTGAGTGAGTAAAAAATTCATGTCTCTCTTTGCCTGACAGGCTGTAAGAGAGTGGCTAGATCACAAATTCGTGGTTTCAGCCATTTCTGGAAGTGTTTATAGCTGTTTATATGAGACTGTAACTATTCATTAGGGAATTCTTCCTAGAATATCCTGACTTCTACCACGCCTAAGAATAACCGTTTTGGGGAGCAGATGGGCCATAAGATGATTCCTGGGGTTGTAGCAACGCACCAGACTCCCTCACTAAGGCATTCAATCCCTAATTTTCCTTCCTCTTTTTTCTTTGCTGTAGAGTGATTCTCATCAGTTCCGTGTCATGGCAGCTGTCCTTCGCCATTGTTTACTAATCGTAGGTCCAACTGAAGACAAAACAGAAGAGCTGCACAGGTAGGTAACCTCCGTACTGATATCTCAATGAAGGACGTCACCAGTTCTTGTTTTTAAGCATCTAATTTTAGTTCTTATAAGCACAAGGAAGTGAGAATACTGAAATAAATCAGGTAACTAGTAAGTCAGAAATCATTACCATGCCCTGATGAGAAATTTTCGTTCAGTCCCCTTTGACTTTGTTGTAGTGAACCCCAACAAGAGAAGAGAGATTTGGCATTTATTGCCTTCAACAATAAAACCTAGAACAACAATAATAGCACACAATTACTGAGTACTGTGTGTGACATCATGCCAAGTGCTTGATAAAGATTAACTCCTTTTAATCATCACACCAGCCTTATGAGGTAGTTTCCCTTTCAGTAGATAATTAAACAGGCATAGAAAGCTCAGGTAATTTCTCTGAGATCACACAGCCCTAATGAGTGAGAGCTTGGATTTGAACCCTGCTTTTAATTACTACACTTAAACTAACACTCTCGCTAATTTCAGTGTAAGAGCATTTACCGAAAAGGATATCTTAAGCAATATGTTTTAACTAAATTGTAAGAAGTTACAAGAACTGGGTCACAGTTTCAAGTTTAATATATAAAAAAAGAGTTCAAGTTTTGTAACTTGCCTGTTAGAACTATTAAAGGACTGCTGTTAAAATGTATCATTCTCTAGGAACAAATGAATAAGTTTAATGCATTTTCTAGTTCTTTTACTTTCTATTCTCTTTGACTTTAGCATAAAACTGTTCATGGTGCTTCATTCTGTAAGAATACAAATGACATTTTAAACAATTCAGATTCAAATTTGCAAACAAATAACTTTGGCATTAAATCTGTTTTACAAATAAATTTAAAATTGAGTTCTCGTAATAGTAGAAATTACCTTTTGAGCATTTACAATAGTCTGACTTCCAAAATATGGCTTAAATAAAACTATATACAACCAGTACAAAATGAAACATACCTGATTATCTTTATGTACTCTGTCTTGCAAGTCTTCAAAAGTTTGTTTTCTTCCCAATTAAAAAATGTAATTTTTTTCCCTGCCGCTACAAATCAAAAGTTCCTTAATTTTCTTGAGATTGTGCCTTTAAAAAATAAAAAGATTTTATTAGGCATTTGACTCATTGTAATTTTTTTTCATAATCAAGAGACACTAGCAGTCTAGGTACTAAAGCTAAAAGAAAACTAATTTAAAAGCTCAGAAGTAAATTGATTTTTTTAATCAGATATCACAAGTTAAATAGCATTCATACAAAATGTGAGGAGAAAATGTTTTGACAGGAATTGTTACACTAGTCACAAAAACACTGACCCACTATTTGTCAAAAGAGAGCAAAACTGTATAGATGTTTGAAAAATCAGATTTTTTTAAAGTAGTCAGATTTCCTTATTTTCCATTCTGATATTTGCTTTAAATACTTGTTTTTCTTAAATTTTAAAGATATTTTTCTTTAAATTTGCTTTTATTTAAAAGTTGCTTTAATAAAATAACTATTAGTTACAGTGTAAGTAAGAAGGAATATCCCTAGAGACACAGACAGAATTTATGAGTATTTCTTCAAGGCTTTCCTGGGAGACAGGTTGCTGCTGACTTCACAGTTTATCTGGCCAAGGCCCTGCATGTCCCTTTAATCAGAATTTAAGTGATTAGTATCATTTGAGCAGAAATGGCTCTAGGCCAATCCATTTAAATATCGGAAAAACTACACCAACCTCAAAGAGCTATTTTAGGAATCTTGCTGGAATTGTAACATCTACTAAATTCTGCTTGTTTGTAATGATCCTGAAACCAGTTTCTGTGTGTTTAAGGCACAAATTAAAAGAAAAAAAAGGAATGTTTCAAACTAAAAACTCATACCATTTTTTAAAGTTTGTTTTTTGCACATTTGATTTGTTTTAAGGGAAAATGTAATGAAATAGGTAAACCAGGATAGTATAGTTTATGCATGATGGAGTATCATCTAACTCAGAGAGTTGTAATAATGATTAAGTGAGAAATCAATAAAGCACTCCAGCCACAGCATTCGGTAAGCTCTCAGTATATCCACAATACTCTTGCCACTGCTGCTTCTATTATTATAATAAGCATATTGACTTTTAGATACAGTATTTAGTTCCCAGTCTTTTTAAAAGGTGCTTCTTGGTTTTGGTATGTTGTTTAGGAACTTATTTCTGTGTATATCCTGTGATCCTGTAGAGAAATCTGATTTCTGTTCATTTAAGTTTTTCTAAAGCCAGAAGTCTAGTAAAGTGATATAAGAGGTGAGTGAGTAAAAAAATGGCGTGGCAACAGCTTTTTCCTGATATGTTGTCTCTGTAACAAAGAGCCTTTTTTTTCCCAGAGAAATCAAGAGG